TTAAATGAAGTTATAAGTTACTGTGGAATGCCAACGAAAATAATTACTGATCGAGGGACTGCGTTCACAGCGAAAGATTTCGAAAGGTTTTGTACACGGACCCATATTCGACATATTAAAAATGCAGTAAGAACTCCACGAGCAAATGCTCATGCCGAACGGACTAATCGAACAATATTATCGATGCTGTTACCAACAAATACGGTTGACAAACGATGGGACGAAAATATGGTAAGATTGCAATGGTGCCTAAATACGATGGAGAATGCGACAACGAAATGCACACCGTACGAGTTGCTGTATGGTTATCAACCTCGTGATATACTTCAGAACGCATTAATTCTAACTCTACATAACGACGACACTCTGACTACTGATCAATTAACGGATTTACGCAGAACGATTGCAGAACGAATTACTGATGAGCGAGCTAAAGCTAAAAGCCGATACGACAAGCGGTACTTACAGCCAACGAAATTTCAAGAGGGTGATCTAGTATTAGTCCAAAACGAGCCGTATAGCACGGGTGAGTCGAGGAAACTAGAGCCGCGTTATAAAGGCCCCTTCATTATTACTAAAGTACTCGACAAAGACCGATATGTAGTCAACGATTTACCCAACTCCAAACGAACACAGCGGCAGTACACCTCGGTGTATTCGTTCGATAAGATCAAGCGATGGTGTCAGTTGCCTTACGATGACAATAGCAGCGAGGCTGATAACGACGATGATGACGACAATGATAACGTTGCCGAATCGACGGACAAAGCGGGGTCGCTTTGAGATGTCAGGAGGCCGACTGTAAAAACACGAAAAATTAAAATACGAAAATGCAACCATGAGTGTGCAAAAATAGCAAATCGAGCGTTTGACGTTTAAAGAGGAGTATGGCGAAATACGACGCGTAGAGTGGAGGTTTTTTTGGTTGCTTTGAAGCGAATGAAATAATATATATATTAAAAACTGCTACTATCAATATAATAAATAAACTAGGTTAAAATCTTAAAAGCTTTGCAAACTGTTTTATTTTACAATAACTTAACACAATTCTGCAACAGAGGTGCTTTCGCACTCTTGCAGTTTTTGTATAGCATTCTTGTATTTTTTCTATTTGAAAGAGAGAGTGAATACTCTTATAATAGCTGCGTTTCAGCAAACATGATCCGCTCAATGATCTGAATCATGTTTGCTGAAACGATACGGATCACGTTTGAAAATAATTGGCAACGCATGAAATATGCCAGTTGGGTTTGTGTACAAAGTTTTTGGATTTATGTGAATAATTTTGGCGCTAAAAAAATAAGTGAGAAAATTTTGAATACAAAAAATCTAAAACTTGGAAAATAAATAAAATCTGTTGAAATGTCTGAAGTACGAAATGTAAGTTTTTATTTAGTATTTACTTAAAAACTTAAATTTAATTCTATAGTAAATAAATGGAAATTGCAGATTTTATTAGAATTATCGAGCAAAACTGACTCCTCCATTTTCTTTTTAAACACTAGTCCAAGTGTATTAAGCTGAAGGGATGAAGTGCATCAGCATGGATATAGTGGAAATTTTATGGAAACGATCAATAATTGTTCCGTTAAAGATTATTTGATTGGTATTTGCGCATATAAAATACAATTGCTATATATTAATTATGTTTCATATTCTAATAGATTTGTTAATAAAATCCAATCAGCAAATACAAAATAACCGTGGTGGTCACAATTGGACGAGAGCAATGAAGAAAATTTACATATTTTTGTGGTATATGGCAAATATAAATACTTTTCGCGAATTTGGTATTTGTTTTGGCATACCAAAAGCTTCTGTATGGAGAATAATTGAAAGAACTAGTGTTTAGCTTATATCAATTGCAAAATTTCCGTTCGTGATTGACAGCACACATGTTAAAATAAATGCACCTCACCAAAGCAATTAGGCTTATTTCAAAAGGAAGCATGAATATAGCTTAAACTTGCAAGCAGTTTGCAATGGTTTTTTTATAAACGTGTATGTTGGAGAGCCTGTTTCCTTATGTATTGTTCTGTTTTAATTAAATAAATGTATTCAACTTAATGTTTATATATTCATTTCAAATTAATTGATTTTCATAAATTATCAAACAACACTTTTTTAATAATAATAAAACGTAAATAATTAAAGTAATAATTTTAATTAATTTTAATAATTTTAATTTATAGTAATAGTAATAATTAAAACATTACTTCAAACAAAGAAATAAATAATAATGACATATGAAATAAATAAGTACATAAAATAAATAATAAATAAATAAAATCAATAATAAATAAATATAAATGTAGATTTGTTTATAATTTTACTACACCGTTGCATCGCATTGCCAACCTCATTTGCATTAAAATACGTTCCACTTTTATCTTTTACATACATTCCACATTGAACCAGAAAGTGAACCAGATCAATTGCTGGTTCACCCCATTGTTTTTGTTTTGCATGTAAAATTGAGCGGATCATGTTTGCTGAAACGCAGCTAATAGCTGTGCTGTCAATCACGAACGGAAATTTTGCAATTGATATAAGCTAAACACTAGTTCTTTCAATTATTCTCCATACAGAAGCTCTTGGTATGCCAAAACAAATACCAAATTCGCAAAAAGTATTCATATTTGCCATATACCACAAAAATATATAAAATTCTTTCATTGCTCTCGTCCGATTGTGATCATCACGGTTGTTTTGTATTCGCTGATTGGAATTTATTAACAAATCTATTAATATATGAAACATAATTAATATATAACCATTGTATTTTTTATGCGCAAATACCAATCAAATAATCTTTAACGGAAAAATTATTGATCGTTTCCACAAAACTTCCACTATATCCATGCTGATGCACTTCATCCCTTGAGCTTAATACACTTGAACTAGTATTTAAAAATGGAATGGAACAGTCAGTTTCGCTCGATGATTCTAATAAAATCTGCAATTTCCATTTATTTACTATAGAATTAAATTTAAGTTTTTAAGTAAATACTAAATAAAAACTTACATTTCATACTTCAGAGATTTCAACAGATTTTATTTATTTTCCAAGTTTTAGATTTTTTGTATTCAAAATTTTTTCACTTTTTTTTTTAGCGCCAAAATTATTCACATAAATCAAAAAATTTTGTACACAAACCCAACTGTCATATTTCATGCGTTGCCAATTATTTTCAAACGTGATCCGTATCGTTTCAGCAAAGATGATTCAGATCATTGAGCGGATCAGGTTTGCTGAAACGCAGCTAATGTTATCTGTTATCTGTTTATCTGTTATTATCTGTTTCCAGTACAAGAAGATAAAGCAACAAAGTAACATATATAGTAAAATTATTTCAACGATTTATTTAGTATTCAATGTATATTAAAGAAATATACAAATAAAAACATGAAAGGGATAGGAAACATGCATATAATAACAATTGTTGATTGCAATGAGCTTGAACTGAACATTATAGTAGTTGTGACTTGATCGAACATTGTTACATGAGGTTGGATGGATTTATTATAAATCCACCAGCAAATTAATGTGGCTTTTTGTTGAAGAATTCGATAAGATGCAAGACTACAAAACAAACAACGTTATTGAATAGTTTTTCTTTTCTGTTATATTTCTTTTCACTATACGGAGAATATATATATATATATATATATATATATATATATATATATAATGTCTTTTTACGCACTTCTTGACTTTATTCTTGTTTTTATTTACTGTTTAATTCATTATTTCTTAAATTACGTTGTTGTGCGGTACACAATTTTTGGTAAGGTACACTCAGCAAATATACCATGGACACTAATAAAAAAATTGACTTGTTTGATAAAGAAATTTTCTGGAAAACTTTTAAACTAGGCAAGCACAGAAACTGTTCTAATTAATCAAAAAATTAAATTTAAATTAAATAAATGCGTACGGTTTGATCCGAAAACTTGAAAATGATTGAAATCTGATTACACGCAACGACAACAGACAATTGATAATTTCTGTTATCATGTGTAATATAATTACACATATATAATTATCATATATTATATATAATATATGATTTGTATATATACAAATCTTCACAAATATACTTCCTTAAATTTTTATTAATTAAACAATTAGTAATTAATTACACTCTCATAGTTCACACTTTATTTTTCTTTATACTTTTGTGCTGAAAAAAAATTGTAAATACGGACCCTTGCTGCATATGTTCAATAGCATATCGTGGATAATATTATAGCACTATCAATATATAAAAACTTTGATTTCCTGGTATAAGTGAAATATGTTGTTTCTAAACTAAAGTGACTGGCTCTATTGACACTTGTATTTGGCAATTTTTAAAATAATTGCATAGACAGACAAAATTTAATAATTAATTAACAATTAAATTAATAATATTAATTTAAATCATTATTCATCACTATCACTATATTGTCAATCACTATGCAAAAACCCTTTTTTAATCCTAAATTACTGAAATAAATTTACATTGGATATAGTGGTGATATACTCTTAATAAATCATTTCGCTTTGACTAAATCTTCAGACAGTTTTTAAATATCTTATCAACACTTCCTGTTTAATCCACAAGCTTTAATTGCTTAAACAGGTTTTTAATATCAAATGGTAAGTTTAAAGTTTTTCGCCTTGAATATTTTATCTTTTGCCTTTAATTATCCTTAAGTTCAGTAATAGAGTTTATCTAATAATTATTTTCTAGTATAAATATATATTTCTGATAATGGGAGCCAGTACGCCATTAGAACTTTTTTCTATTTATTGTTACATTTGTTTGTATGTAGACTGTTGTATTTATTTGGGAATAAATAACGAATAAATTTTTGTTCATGTTTCTTATCGCGAAACCAGTTTACTAACTGCGTATACAGCGAATAGCTATAGCTATTGGGAGAACCGTAAAAAGAAGTCAATTTAATTTCTGGATAGACTAATCTAAATAATTTGTTTAAATAATTGTTAATTACAAACATGGTATTATTAAAATTTATATTATTTCTTAAATTTTTTTTTGTGATTTACATCTTTAAGAGAATGAATTCACAACACAGCAAGCGGTCTGTACACTAATATGATGTTGGTTGATAAATTTCTGTTTCTCAACATTATTGGAAATGTCGTACTGGATTTACTAACCTACACAGGACCAGAAATTTTCTTTATATTTAACTTCAGAAATGTTTGGTTTTCAAAGAAGTAAGATTAGTTACTTATTCAAATTAAAGAATAGCTATATAATTGAAAATTACAATAAAGTTTATTGTTAAAAGGAAGCTTCCACCAAATATGTACCATCCATTGGTTGATTGTTTTGATTATTTTGTACGTCACTGGTTGCTGGCATATATTTTCCACACGCCTAAAACAAAACATTTAATTAAACATTTGAAAATATACTTTGTGACTTACTTGATAACGTTGTGCACAGCACCGACCGCAACAGAACTGCATTAATCCAACTGCGCTATTGGTCGAGTGTGCAGGGCTAGCAATTGGTGATGGTGAACCTGGTCTCTTAGATTGGCCATTGTAAGGTATTTCTAACTCAACAAACTCACGATCCTTGCAGCAGTAATTAAGTTGTTAAAAACGTTTTATAGTTTTAAAACTAGTAATAACACTGTATGTATTAAGTATTTGTATTATTTCTATGTATAATGATACAATTTAATTTATACACTTATGAAGAAATAAAGTTTCAACGCAATGCTTGATTGCTAAGCATTTGTAATTAATCATTAAATTAAATAGAGGAACAATAACATTAACTTCAGGATAAATTGTTAATTTTGTAAAAAGTGTCTTTCTATGAACATAACATTTATAACTTTAAGGTAGAAGTAAAACTCAAGAGAGAAAAATCGGAAAAATTTTGGATACCTGTTTTACTGATTACCTGTTTCATTCATCAAACTATCAATAGATAATTTTTGATATTTTAACATACGCTTTATAACTATTATGATATCCGACTACGTCCGGGTACATTAAAAAACATAATATATATTATTCGCTGAATTAACTAATACAGCTTTAAATTATTAATGTTAGAGGTTTATCTTATTTTACAAATTTAAGCGATAATTATTTTTATTTTAACTTTTGGTGATAATTTAATTTATAATAATAATAATAATACATCAAGATCTGGCTTCATTATTTAGCTTTATAATTTAAAATTTGATTATCACACATTAAAAACACTCCTTAATAATACAAATCTAAAGCTGAAACATCTGTTAAAACAAAAAATAAATAAATAAAAATCAAGCCATTATAATGTGTAACTTTCGGGCGCGCATCACAAAAAATTAAATTTTTCTTTCAAGATTGCTTTATTTCAAATTCAAAATAACTCTCCAAACAAGTCATACAACTATATATAACTCAAAATAACATATTTATAAAATTAAAGCATGTGGTGTAATTTGAAATAAATAAACAGAATTTTTTAAGCATTCTTAAAAGTTACATATCAATGTAAATAAAATTTGGGTAACTATATATCAAAAACGATAAAAAAATATTTGATACATACCGTGGTTTTTTCTAAGCATCTTAACAAATGATGATGTTGCAGCTCAAATATATCTTCATCTCTATAATTATCGTCGAGTTCAATGCCTGACTCTTGCGCTGCCCACCGAGCCTCAGCAGCTTTCTTCTTATTGACAAAAGCAGCACCAGAAGATGCTTTAGCGATTCGTATTCGGGCTAGTCGTGCTTTCTAACAAGGAAGAACAAATTATGGTGGTGAGAAATTTCAATATAACAATTTTGTTAAGTTACTCTTTGTGCTTTTCTTTTGTCAGCTCTTTGATTTTGATGATAAATTCTGCTAAAATTCGATACAATAACAGGCACTGGAAGAGCAATAACTAATACTCCACTAAGTGAACAAACTCCACCAACAATCTTTCCAGCTATAGTTTCAGGTACCATATCGCCATAACTTACATAAAATAAAAATATATACAAAACTTCTTGGATACATTAATAAATATACTTACCCCAATGTGGTCATAGTTACAATTGTATACCAAAACGCCGCTGGAATTGAAGTAAAGTTTGTTCCGTTAACATTTTTTTCGGCATAAAACATAACTGTAGCAAATATTATAATTGCCATTGCCAATGAAAACACTAAAAACCCTAATTCGGAAGCACATGATTTCAGTGTATAGCCAAGGATTCGTAATCCTTGTGAATGCCGTGAAAATTTAAAAATACGAAAGACTCGAAACACTCGTAAAGTTACAAAAGCTCCACTAACATCGTCATTATCTGTTATACCAAGTCCAATATAGTATGGCAAAATAGCAACAACATCAATAATACTCATTACACTACGAACAAACTTGCATCTATCAGGTGCTGCAAACAATCGTAGTAGATACTCAGCTGTGAAAATCATAACACAGGCTGTATCTAAACAGAAAAATACTATCTTGTACCTTTCTCCGCATGGAAGTGTACCTGCACGACCTGGGCGATGACCACAAGGAACGGTTTCTACAACGTTTGCCATAACTGACACAGCTATAAAAAATCCAGTAACGTAGTAAAATACAAGAGCAGCTGTAGATGTATGAGGATTCTCAAAAGCACGCCACATTTTTTGGCGAATATTGGTTAATTGCTGTAAATTCTGATCACCATTTTCCGATAACTTATCATCCATTAATCGCTCTGCGTTTTCACGTTTTCGATCTCGGTAGTCTTCATAGCAGCAGTCACCAATCACATCAGGCATAATACCAAAAAAAGCCAATTCTTCATCATAACTTGTTAAACACTCATGCTTGGGATAATGTAATTTCCCTGTGCGATAATAATTTAATATATGTCGGAATATGTCAGGATCACGATCGAAAAAGTACTCCTTGCAATCTTCATCATAAAAAAACTCTCGTTCATTAGAACCTAATAAGGTTTCTGGATACTTTTCTATAGTGTTCCGCCAAGTTTCAAATCTTCGACCAGAGACGTTAATTAGCAACTTTTCATCATCTGTCTTCCTTCGGTCCTTCGGTACAGGGGGCGGAGGTAAGGGATGAGTTGCAATTGGAACCCATCCAATGGCCGCCGCCCGCGCAAATGGGAGCCAAGCGGCGACCGATGCCATTGAATGTGGTGGAATGTTTTGCACAGAATTTTTACTTGTAAATGATATAAGTTGTGTTCTTGAATCTTACACTATATTTATGGTAAACTGCTTCAAAACAGTTTATCTTTTTGCTAATTAATTCAATGCGTTAATATATCTATCCAATATTTTTATCTATTCACGTTTCACATATGTATGTGTACACACTTGCAACATTGAAATGCCTTGATACTCATAGCTAATAATCTTAAAAGCTCAAAATTTACTGCTGGTAAAATTCACCATTCTCCTCTATTCCAATATAACATATAAATATTTACTATTACAAAATGCGAAATCCTTCAATTCGAACTTTTAAAGTTATACCATGTACTGCACTTTATTGTTATAAAACAAATTTACATTTATACTGGTTCTTTTTCTCTGCTATAAAATTACAAAACGAATACACACAACATAGGAGCTTTACACACATACATATGTCAATTCGACCACATTGTATTTTAATGTTATGTTATTCTCAGCTGAATTTGTTGCTTTGTTTTTGATATCAGGAAAATTTGTATTTTTATTTAGCTGTATTCCACAAATAAATTATATATTTGAATTCAATTGATTTGTTGAATAAAAATGTTTACTCAATACTCTGTGAGAAATTAGTACTCTTTTTGACAACAATCCTACATAAATCTGTTTTTTACATTTTTTTTTAGACTTTATTACAAATGTGAAAAATTCAATTTAAATAAATTTTCTACGCCGATTTTTGTTAAGTCAGTTTTTTAATACAGTTGCCCGATGTGCTAACCTTTATTCTTCATGTTCTTACATTAATTAAAATTTGTTACAACACTGCTACTACAACTTCAATTATTAAGATGACATATAATTCTATATATGACTTTCCGTTTGCTAACAATTTTCATCGACTAGTATACAAAAATGAATTTTTTGCTTATATATTCGGGTTCTCATCATTTTCCTGCCTTCCAAAACTCCACATCATGGCCAATACGCAAGCGCTAAAACGGATTCTTGACCTCACGTAATAAACATGGGAATAATTTTTATTCATGACAATTATTATTTGTCGGTATTTAATTTTTTAATATAACATTTCATACTTATGTATAAAACACCTTAAAATGTATACACATAGCTGTCTAAATTGTTCTTATTTTCATTTTATGGTATATATTTCGCAATATACTTCCATATGTGTTCCATGTGTAATTCAAATGTTTATTCTTAAATAAATGCTTTACTATTAAGTGAAACATTTACTATTTACTATTATACATTCACATATGTACATACATATATTAATTTCATGTTGCTAGAAAACAATAAACGAAATTAATTTATATGTCATTTACATGTCAATTTTTACGATTTTACTACGATTTACGATTTATTGATTTTATTGATACAAAATATATGAAGGAAATGGATATTCAAAATATCTTTGATATGATATACATACATATGTTTGAAATGTATGTAAGTGTCAATAGTTTGATAAAGGCGTAATTATGTAGGCGTAACTACGAAAAACAATTGTTTTTGTAAAAACGATTTTTTATAGTAAAAAATGAATTAAAAAAAAATAACATTTTCTATTATTTTCGTCAATGCATTCAAAAGACAAATGTCACACACACACACACACACGCACACACACATGATTATTTTAATGTAATACAAAAAATACAAAAACATCCAATATGTAATTTTTTTGCAAAAATTAATTATTCATATTTATTAATTTATTAATTATTTATATTTTAAAAAATCCAATAGTTTTTTAAACTCATTGGAAAGTACCATATTACAATATAATTTAGTCACTTTATTAATACCACAACAAATTAAAAGAAAAACAATACATTTTTGAAGTTTGTTCACAAAAATCAAAATTAAAATGGAAAAAGTTTCACTTTCGATTGATATAAAAAAAACTCAAAAGCTAAATAAGTAGTTTATGCAGTTTTTTTTTAAATTGATCAGTTTTGAACAGTAAACTTAAATAAACTGTGAAGTATCACAGTGTGGTGTCTGGTGTACTGTTTTAATGATATTTTAGTTTAGTGATGTGTTTAATAAAGTCCGAAACACATTAACAAAATTTCCAATATTTGTGTTGATGAACACAAGTGTCCATCGAACTAAACGTTTTGGAAAAGTTTTTAATGTGAATTGTTGTTCGTTTGCATAATAAGCACAAATTTTGTTTGTTTTGTCTTGCATGCATTTTGTTTGTGGTCTTAAATAAAGATATGTATGCATTTATTTAATTTAATATTAACTTCTTTTTAATAATTAATAGGTTTTTTTACATAAGATGTCGGAAACAGTATACTATTTTACTGTTTCGGATATGTTGCTTTCATTTTTAGTGTACTGTTTGTAAATACAATCGTTAAAAATTTTTAATCTGTTGCGCACTACACTACTATAGTGTACTGTTTTCATTGCACTGGTCTTTAACGATTATAGCGCCCAAAGCGAAAAAAAAAGTTAAGAAATATGTGCACGGCGCCATCTCTGAGTTAACTTAATGAACCATTGTCTATGTTCGAAGGTTTGAAGCAATGATAATGCATTTGGTCGTAAGTAAATGATTGCCATTTCAAAAAATTTGCATTGACTGACTAAAATCGCAAAGAAATAACCAAGAACACGAAATACAAGAGGACTTCTCAACTCAAGCGATTTTATTTCTACACATATTAGGCCATTCAAGAGGAACGCGGAGATTTTGCATTGGCTGTGTAGAAATCGTTTTTGATTTCTCTCAATAGTTCACATTTTTAATATACGAACTGTTTACATGTGTGAATGAAGCATTAATTCCCAGCGGCACCATTAGGCCAGCGCTGAAAAAGTAAGCGAGGAGGTAATAGCTCTTCGTTTTTATTTTTCTTTGTTTTCGACATTTGTGTTCGACATAGGCAAAATGGGGGTTGAAATTATAAAAGAATGAAGAAGAAAAGCATATGAGTATTAAGAATTTCTTGTTTTGCCTGCATTGTATACATTTAGTCTGCTTTTGATTTTAGTGAAGTGCGTCAAATTAGTGCAGTGAACAATTTTTAATTTTTAAAATCAATATAAAATCCAAAAATATAATTTGTGAATCTAAAAATATAAATAAAATATAATTTGTGAATTTAACATAAACTCACTGTAAGTATATGCAAAATTAAGCAAATATATTTAAAATTTAAAATTTTATTTTTTGTTTTGTATTATGTAGATGCAACTGCGTCAAGAACGATTAAGTGACCAATGTGCTGCGAATGCAGTCATTCTAAAGCAAAAATAAAATCAGTCATCTGCCTCAATTGGAACAGTTTCCAATTTAATCTGATGAGGATTTAATTCAGTTTAACGAAGAAATCACTGCCGTTGAAGTAGTTGTAAGTTAAATTATATATGTTTCTTACTTTCAATTTCAACTTATGAATATTTTCACATGTAACAATTTTACTAACTCATACATTTCTTTTCATCTATTTCGTTAATTATAGGCTGCATCAATGAGACGCGTTATTGACAAACAACCAATAACGCGAAAGATTTTGTGGATTTTTGGAGAAAGTATACTCATAAATTATAACTTCGATGGTACACAAGGCAAGTAGTCCTTAAGAGCGTTAAAGAATGTGACAGCAGCACTTTTTGGTATAGTATATTGTAAATAATTTATTTTAGCGTATACAATAACTTACTTTTGTATTTACAGACGATTTAAGGACGGATGGTAACCCTGACCAAGTGATCGAAAATGAAATAAGGCATGCGTTTCGATCAGCCAAAAACAGGTACCACAAGGCGAGGAGTGTCCGGAAATCTGTTCAAGTCTCTAGCAACAATACCACACAATAATATATCTTTATATAAATATGTATATATGTGAATAAGCTTAGTTTATATTTAAATAAGTTAATATGTTATGTAAATATGTGAATAAATTGATAATTTAATGTGTAAATAAGATAATATTTAAATAAATTAATATGTAAATAATTATGTATAAATAATTTAAAATGTAAATAAGTTATATTCTTTTATGCAAATATTAATACTTCAATTTTATAAACCATAAATATAAAATATAATTTATCCAAAAAAATTTATAGTATTTTATTTAAAAATCAATAGCATAGGTAAAATTAAAAGGTAAGCGAACATATCAGCGCTGATATGTTGCATTACAAATTCGAAAAGGTAAGCGAGCATGTCAGCGCTGAAATGTTGCATTACAAATTTGAAAAGGTAATCGAACGATTCAGCGCTTGCCAGAAAGTCCCGCTGGGAAGATATGATGGGAGCGTAGCTTATGATTAAAGGGTGCCTACCTCCTCTTATATACATTTGCAAATTTCATGTTTAAACAATTATAATTTATCACAAAACCAATTACAATATTAAAACATATATATATTTTAATCAGTAATATAATTAATTCAAACGAAGGAAAGGTTTTTATATTGATGTAAGGTAAATATTTTAAAACGATGTAAATGTATAACTGAATTCTGACTACGCACGGTGTTAAAATATCTCCTAAAGTAATATAGCAAAACACAAAAACAAAGGTAAACAAATATTGCACTTGTTTTCTTCATCTAAAAATGCATACATTTTATATGAAATTTTCAAAAGCAAAAATAGAGAACAAACACAAAGCGTTCCTCTTGATCGGCCTAATGTTTTTGAAGACAAATTTTTCAAAAGCTCAGTTGAGAAGTCCTCTTGTATTTAGTGTTCTTGATACTACATGTATTGTTATAATAGTACACCACATACAACAACAACATATACTCCGTTTGAGTTAGTTAATGGAAGATTAAGTGCCTTACCATGTGAACTTTACAATTCTGATACGGTATATGATTCGCTAGAAAATTATTTAGCAGCCAGTATATATAAAACAAGCCAGTATATATTTAGATGTATATAAAATGCGAAATTGTAATAAAACAAAACAATCAAATAATAATTTTAATGTAGGATATAGTGTTTTAAAAATAGAAGACACGACATTAGAACTACATAACAATAATATATAATTAAATCAAGATTAAATAACATATGATGTTTATTATCATATTTGAAAAGAAAACAAACCTCATAAAAAAAGGGAGATGGCATGTAGTGTATTCTAAGAAGTTAAGTTAAGTTATGTTAAGATCAATTCATGTTAAATAAGTTATGTCAAAAACATAGAAATATAAAGACATGTAATTTGCCTCTGTTAAAAAAATCATGAATTCTGAAAAGGTACACGCAATGGGAAAAACATGTCTGTTCAAACGTATAAACAATCGAACTTATTATTTTATGTATGATCAATGCTATTTTGTTAGTGAAGTGACACCGATATGTAAACTGTTTAGGATAATAGAGGGAATCAATACAGTGACTAACAATTTATAAACAAACCGCGAAGACTGTATGGTCGCTAGAATCTAATGGCCTAAGTTGGACAAAAATAAAACGAAAAGCATTTTAGGCTTCAGCAAACCTGCAGTTCGT